ACAGATGACTTGGATCAGGGTGGTCAAAATGAAAAGTGCGAGACACGACAAGACCCTGGATACATTTTGAGAGGGAGACAAGATTTTTTTCCACACTGCACATGGCGTGTGAAAGAAAGAGGGGCATGAAGCTTTTCGGTCTGAGCAACTGAAAAACGCAACAGTGACTTTTTCCGATGGAAAGACTGCAGTGAGCAGGTTGGGAGTGGAGGGAGATGATCAGGGTCTCAGACTGCAGTCCGTCACTTCTGAGGTTCCAGGCCCATGTCAGAGCCAAGGCCGTCCTCAGCTCCTTGATGCTCTGGTGGCAGAAGAGAGGTGAGGTGAGGACTGCCCAGGTCAGACCTGGCATCTGTGTGTCGCCTGCCTTCGGCACCTAGGAAACCCCACTGCACCTTTCCTGTTTCCGCATCTGTAGATGGTTACGGCTGAGTAGGTCATTCTGAGGGGCCACCTCGATGTCAACGTGCTAAGATTTCAAGGATATATTTTAAACTTTTTTCTGATTGATGGCATTCTCTCTTATCAGCTGCTCAAACCCATTCTCCTTCCTTGGTTGTTTCAGTCAGATTCCCCCTTCATGCAGGAGAGAAGCCCCTCAAGAGTGAGGTACCTCGGGAAACAGCAGTTAGCGTATTGGCTATGTCACTGGACTCCCACGTAGTTGACCGTGGTTCGCGTCCCAGACCCGGTGGCTTAAACTCACGCTGGGCGTGTGTGTGTGCGTGCCCAAGATCCCGAGAGGAGAATGGAGGAGAAGGGATTGCAGCGTGGCCATCCCCCTGGGGGGGTGATTTCTCGCTTTCTGTCTCTATGTCTCTCTCTGTCTGTCTGGCGAGCGCATGGTGCCCTATAGCAAAAACTTCTCCAAAAAAAAAGAAAAAAAAAGAGTGAAGTACCTGCTGGGATTGACTAAACTTCTCGTTCTTATTTTCTATAAGAAGGGCAGGACTTCCTTACTCTAAAAGCCATTAAGATTCACCACTAACATCGTGTACCTGCTTGAGTTCACTAGTTAATTAACCCCACTTCAATTTATTTGTGCTGCTGAATGGAAATACTTTTAGATCTTTTTAATGAACAGAAAGTTCTTTTAGATTGTTTTTCTCTGACATTAGAATAGCCCAGCTAACCTACACTATAACTAAAAGATATAACCATAAAACCCCTAGAAGGGAACATAGGGGAAAATCTCCTTGACATCAGCCTTGGCATGGTTTTCTGGATGGCACACTGAAAGCTCAGGTTACGATAAACAAAAGTAAGTAGAGGGCACTGCATCAAACTAAAAAGTTTCTGCAGGGCAAAGGAAATCATTAACAAAATGGAAAAACAACCTACGAACTAGGAAAAAAAAAAGCATAAACCTTATATCTGATAAGGGGTAAATATCCAACATTTACAAAGAATTTTTACTACCCAAGAGCAGAAAAACAACCTGATTTTAACATGAGCAAAGGACCTGAACAGACATTTCTCCCAAGAAGACATAAACATAATGAACAAGTCAGTGAAAGAGTGCTCACTATCACTAATCAGAAGGGAAATACAACCTTAAACCACTGTGACATATTACCTCACGTTCATTAAGATAGCTATTATCAAAAATAGAAGCAAGGGCCAGGCCATAGCATGGTGGTTTAGGCAGCTGGATCTCGCATGGACAACCGTGTGGTCCAAGTCCCAGACCTGGGTGGTTTGAAAAACATACCAGGTGAATGTGTGTGCATGCCCGAAATCCTGAATGGAGAGGAAAACAGAGGAGAAAGGATTGAAGCATGTATAGCTTCCATTCTCCACTCTGTTCTCCAAGGGTGCTCTCTCACTTCTCTATGTCTCTCTCTCTCTCTCTCTCTCTCTGTGTGTGTATGTGTGTGTGTGTGTGTATGTGTGTGTGTCTGCAGGAAGCACTTGCACCCTCTGAGAAAATTCTTTAAAAAATAGCAGCAATGACAAATGTTAGCAAGAGTGTGGACAAAGGGAACCCTAATACACTGTTGGCAGGAATGTAGACTGGTACAGTCATTATAGAAAATGGCATAGAGGTTCCTCAAGAAATTAAAAATGAAACTAGCATATGACCCAGCAATCCTTTATCAAGTTATATATCCAAAGGAGATGAGGTCATCACCTCGTGAAGATCTGCACTCCTAGGACCAGCAGTTAGCGTAATGGCTATGTCCTTGAACTCCCATGTAGCTGACCACGGTTCGAGTCCCGGACCTGGTGGCTTAAACTCATGCTGGGCGTGTGTGTGTGTGTGTGTGTGCCCAAGATCCCGAAAGAAGAATGGAGGAGAAGGGATTGCGGCGTGGCCATCCCCCCTGGGGGTGATCTCTCACTTTCTGTCTCTCTCTCTCTGTCTTTCTTTCTTTCTTTCTTT